ACACCAAAAACAAATGCGTTGTAAGTTCTTTACAGTACGGTACAGTTTATTGTGGAACAGGCTGCCAATGCCTATCCGGAACTGTGATACGTTTACCAGATTCGAAAAGCTAATAACCCTATTTCTAGACTCCAAAGAGCTTCAACATTACCTTGAACTCCCGCCCACCAATGAGGCACTTTATTACGGACCGCCTAGTATCTAGAAAGAACAAAATTATAACAAGTTCGACTGTTACTAATCTGAATATAACCAAATCACAGGATTTATGGCTTATCCTTTCCTATTATTCATTGTTTATTAATCATGATTTCATGCTCCTAACCCTAGCTTTCAGTCCCCAAATCTCTACAGGTTAAATGTACATTATTCTTCCTAAAAGTCATGCTTTTTTTTTCTACTGCAAGTAGACAGATAGCTCAATCTTATGGATGCTGATCTACTAAGGCCGATCATTCAAAGCTCAAAATTTGGCCACAAAGTCTTGTGAGTTTCTCAATGTTTTATTTTTCTCACCCTAAAATCTTTTTCTTTTTTTTCTACAATTTTATACCCTCTCATATCTTTTGATTTACTATTAATCCTTACTTCTTTAAACCATTAGTTATTTTCATAGCAGTGTGATATACTATATGGACATCTAACCCATAAAACAGAATTTTTAAATATCTGATTTGCTTGTAACATGGACCTAGTAGAGACAGTGTATTCCAACTATGTGCTTTGATTAAAGCATTAATCATACTTACCACAAACGTAAGAGAGCCTAACATCACAAAAGGAGGGGGGTGGCGTTACTGACCAGCAAACGTGAAGGTGGGGAGATAACTTCAATCCACCCATGTCTGTAGGGCAGAACATTTTGTTTAATTACGGCTCCTTATGGTTTAGTGGGATGTCACGGACTTAAGGTATTGAAGCTGATTTATCACGCAAAATACCTCTTTAAATCGTGTTACGAACGTTGAATTGGTTTCACTTCCTACTCAGAAATCCTATTACAAGCAAACTAGACAATTCGCTAATATACGAAGCCTACTCAAGACCCTATAAAACCTAAAAAAAAACAAATAAAAAAAAACGAGATGGGCTCTAATAGCTTCGATAATAAAAGGAAGATAGCCAGTTGTATATCACAATACTGTTTCTAGCACTATATTTTATTTTATAATCACACATAATCTTATACTCTTAGCTCTTTTCCGAATCGCCTCCATTTGTCAGTTGTATGTCCACTCACACCTTGCTAAAGCTTATTTTCTTTAACCTATTAAAATGCTCTTTCTTAACAAATACCTTAATAAGAGAAAATTAGACTGAGTAATCATACCTTAAACATTCCTACATGAATATTGGCTACTCTGCCTCTCGTGTTTTCTTTTACTTGCTCCCTCTTTCAGCCCCCTTGAGATATGGAACAGGTTACTTCATCCTGCACCATCCTTAAAGCCTTGGATATCCCAAAGGGACATACGGTTGCGATTTCTAGAAGCTCATACCTTCAATGGACCTATTCTGTCGCACATTCGCAACGCAACTCTCGTGAAGCGCGCCAACTATAGTACTGATTAAAACAATCTACATTCATGTCTTATAAATTTTTAACCCAGCTATGTAATTTAATACAGTGTATATTGTATCATTTGTATCAATTTGATCTTGCCTGTAAACTGGCATGCCTCATGTAATAAACTGTTATTTGAGAATAAATTATTATTAAATTATTATTATTATTATTATTACATTGATCTAAAGAATGATTACTGAAGCACTTCAAACGAGATGAACTGCGTAAGGAAGCATTATCATCACTAGCACTCGCATAAGATATTCTTGCTGCATTGTAATCTGCACTAATTTTCCCTTTTAAAACACCAACATCTCTATTGTCACTATTACCACCGCGGTTGACAAGTAAGCCGTACGTAGTATTAGCTATATCAGCTTGCTCCTTTACAAACTCAACAGGATCGGTGAACAGAGGCTCTCGACCTCCTCTGATAATCTTATAAGCTACCTTTAGCCATTCTTGTTGAATGTGTGTTGGTAATTTCAGAACCATAGTTTCGATAGTTCTAGAAGAGTTCAAATCAGAAACGTAATTCATCTGTTCAAGAGTCAAACTACATGCTTGCATTTCTCGAGATAGTCTTCTCAAACCATCTGGTTGATTCCTCCTTATATTGGGAAAGTTTAACAAGTTATCGATAAACGTGCGTGCTACGACGTGTTTTTGGCCAAACGTTTCCTCTAAAAGCTTTAGGGCTTGACGTTAACCTATCTCTGGCTCTAGTATAGTACAATGAAGGATAGCGGCTTTCGCTTCTCCGTCACAATATTTAATCAAGTAATTTAGCTTAGCTCTAAATCCAATATTCTCACTCCCAATGCGTTCTTCGAAATTTCTAATGAAGTTCCAATAATTTGTCGGTGTACCATCAAACCTAACGACTTCTCTTTTTGGTAAATACAGATTTTTAATATTGTATTCTCACTGATGTTTACTGATTGGCAGGAACCTTCACATCTCTGGCAGCGTAACTTTTCTAAATCAATTTCCTTTTCCAACTGGATTATGCGCAACCTAGCTAACTCTAGTTCTATCATGCTATTGTTTTTGAGTTCGTCCTTTACTTGATCCTCGTCATAAACTCCCGAATGATGGGGTGATAACTCTGGAATCTCATCGGAATCGTAGTATTTATTGGAAGTCATTTCAGTAGGTATATCGAATTTACTGTTCGAAACTTTGTAGGGGGTAATTTCCTACAGGTTTAATTCTGAGCTATTCTCTAGACCGTCGAATACAGAGTCTTGGTTTGGCCAAAGTCAGAACAAGCAAGCTATTTGGCTAGATAAACTTTATCTGTTTCTAAAACATAAGTTAATATCGTTAGTGTACAAACAAACTGTACGGTCTATTAATACAGGGAAAAAACAGACAAATAACATACCGAACAGTAGCCAGAGAATAGGGAAAATGAGTCAACAAGCAAATATTGCTTTACAACGAACATCAAACTGTGATTGGTCAATAAAGGGATACAGCAGTACAAGGTCAAAGGGAGTTAATGTGGTGGTGGGCGTTTCCCTTTATTATTGGTGAGTTCGTCTATCGATCACATTTTCACCAGTCATAACGGAAAAAGTTGTTAGGAGGACAATTTTCATATCACCATCTTAGGTAAGGTCAATGCGACCTGTCCAATATTGACCGAAGTGCGTTTCCTGACTTGTTTGTTGCGTCTATAGAATTATGATTTGCTTCGTTATTAGTACTGCTCTAAAAATACACGTATTCCTAAAATGGTATATTTGTCATGTTGTAACTGTCTAGTCTATAATATCTTACGTGGAAGTCACATCATTCCTACAACGACTTACCGTAATATGACAATCATTGATATATGGTGAAGAACACATTTATGCCGGAGATAGAACAATATATTTAACGTGAATAAATGTGATGTTACATAAGTGTGACCACTCCTTCAATGTCGGGCCATATCATCCAATGATTTTCAATTAATTGAACATATTCTTCCAGCCCTCTCCATCGTTGGGGTTTTCTATATGTCGAATGTTGAATATCTGTTTTCCCAGTTGCCCAGTGTTGAACTTTTAGGATTGTGTTGTTAGGGCACAATGCCACTACAACACAATCCCACCAGAATCAACGTGACGTTGGTTTGATACCGATTTGCGTGGGGCTGTCGCGCTCCAGAAGTTACAAAGAATAATAAGAATCCTCCGGGTATTAATAAGCTGAAAGATAAATCAGAAAGTAAGCGGCAGTGGTCGAGAAATACACATTACAATGTCAAAATGTTGGTTTAATTCTTAGCGCACGTAAAATAGAAATTTAGGTGAAGATTATTTGAGCTAAACAAAGTGGGATCATAATAAGTGAGAATGATCCCTTGTAGATATGTTTTAATAAGTCACCGTAAAATGCGTAGTAATAGCCGTTAGTCAGTAACTTATAGGCAGTTCAGATATTTTGTGTTTAGAAATATGAAAAAATAATCAATCATGAAACTATCATTTTAACTAGTTATAACTTTGATTGAGGATGATCCAGTTGAAAATAGGTATTGCTTTTTAGGTGCTTCTGAAATAGAAGAAATCTGTAGCGTCAAGAAGTCCGATCTGCTTAATTTTATTGTGAATTTCGATTCAAAAATATTCGTCTACATAGTGTTAATTTTAATAATAAGATCAACTGTTTTTGCTCTGGACACTTTCGTGGCTAACAATTACATGGTAGTTTAGTTATTATACAAGTGCAGTATGAGAGTACCTAACTTCAGTGACTTTATTATCTTAACTATGTTTGTGTTTGTGGGAAACCTATATGATGGACCAATTCATAAACATAAATACATATTAGCAGTAACGACTATGATGGGTTCAGTGAAAAATGGTAAAGGCCATTCAAATGATTGTTAAATTTAAATAGCATATATGATGTAATGCAATGCATGTATGAGCTAGGTTAACGTGTAGGTTGGTGTAGTATATGACAGTTAGAAAATATTTCAAAAGTTGAGACAACTTGTGGAACTACAAATAGGAATGTGATGACTTATAATATAGACGCTTCATGCAAAGTTACTATAGTTAGCTTAGTGACATTTATAAATCTGTGACAAAGGTAACTGGAACTAAGAAATGTTAAATAAATTTTATGCCTAACATGCTTCGTCTGCAAACAATGCACTTTTTCATGGTAGTATGTTGCAGTATAGAGGCCTTAAATATATCTTATACCAAACACGTTTTGGAAGTGGTTCATATGTAACATAATTGCTGTGCAAATAGCTGAACACAGAATCTATTTTGAGCGTCATTTAAAATACGACAGAAGAAAGGAAAATATCAGACTACCAGAGTATCTAAATTTTGGCTTCTCTTCAATTATAGAATATATATGTGAAGGTGATACAGAGACTAATCCCGACAATGTTTATCACATATTCGTAGCAGCGGATTTCCTCTTAATGCCAAAGTTGAAACAACAATGTGCGAATCCATTAAAAGAGATTGCAACCACTGATTTTTCTACTGCAATCGATATGTGGTTAAATTATAAATCATCCTATTGGCCTGGACTAGGCTCAATAGCACATCAAACAATTTTAGAAACTTTCGGAAAAATATGGCACACATGGGATTTCAAGAAATTAAGTGCAAACTACATTCATCAAACTCTTCATGAAGATGCTCTAGATTGTAAACATGAAAGGAATGTATTTCAAGCAGTCGTTCAATGGATTAGTGAAGATTTAGAAACACGTATAGAATATTCATTGGAGTTATTGTTATGCATTCGACTTAGCATGCTATCATCCACCTAATTAGATTATATGAAGAAACATGATTAGATTCAAATTGTCTCAGAATATTTAGATTTATCGAATCAGTGGTCAAAGTGTTTAGCAACTTACGGTTCGTTCGCCTGATTTATACATGTCCTAATCAGTAATTTATTATGATCATTTATTAATATGTTGATTTGTTTTTCCGATTAACAGACCATATGCTACTAAACAAAAGTATGCACACACTTTGGTGATAATTTCTTTATTAAGTTGGTATTCAACATTCGACTACCGACCTCACTCAGCAATCACTGTTATCAAATATTCAAACCGGTTTTCAGTTCCTTTTTTCCAAAACTTTCTTTTATTGTGATACATATCATTATTCGTGTCAAGATAACTAACTACTTCAATTCAAGGTATACTTGATCGGAAAACAAACATTTATCCCAATACACATTCACTAACAGCAGAATTGCACGGTAGTGCAATTAAGTTGGTGTCTTTATATTCAAAAGTCTGAATTTTTTCAAGACTAAGATTACACAAAAAGAATTATTCATTATCGTTAAATTTCAAATGTAAAAATGCAAATCAAAGCACTTGATGCTATTTCGATTTCAAGTAATCAGATTACAAAGATGAACAGTTTACGACCAATCACAAAATTATTAAAGGTGACAAAATGTTTGTTCGTTATCACTTGAGCACACACTTGCAAACCAAGTACACCAACCACTGATCCCTACATTTTTTTCACACTCTACAATTTCTAAGGAATGGGTGGTAGGGAACCGTAATTGCCGTCCATTTAATGTCAACCCACAAGTAAAAATCGGTCGACAAAGTTAAAGTGAAAATGAGAATTAATAATAGGACCTCTTTTCATTATTCGGGCTTACCCATGTAGAATTATGGTCTACTTCGTTATTATTCATGCTCTAATAATTCATCTAAACCTAAACCTGTAGATCTGTTATGTTGTAACTGCCTAATCTATAAGATCTTACGTCGAAGTCACACCATTGTCTATACTGATTCATTGTATCGTAACAATCATCAATATATGATGAAGAATACATTTAGGCTGGAGATATAACAATATATTTGATATAAATAAAAGTGATTTCACATAAGAATGATCACTCCTTCAACGTCGAGCCATGCAAACTGATGAATTTGAGACAATGTAAGCCGGCAGACCCTCATAATACCACCCACCGTTTCACAACGACCCTGAACGACATGAGCGATCATTCCGCATCTCAGTTGCTGTGGGTTTGTTGGGTGTCCGTTGGGTTGCGGGAATATCAGGTGTTAACTGAAAAACTTATTGAAAGGTGGAAAATATTTGCAGATTAGCTGTCAGCAGAATAGAATATTAATTGGAGTTATTGTTATGCATTCGACTTAGCATGCTATCATCCACCTGATTCGATTATATGAAGAAACATGATTAGATTCAAAGTGTCTCAGAATATTTAGATTTATCGAATCAGTGGTCAAAGTGTTTAGCAACTTACAATAATCGTATTATCAATGCGTATGGACAACGATTTATTACGCCAAGATTACCGCATTAAATGAGTATGTGCACATAATTTGTTAGATATTGTTCAAACACTCCGGAATGTAACGTCTTTCCGAATATCACCGTCTTACTATGAATAAGATAAAAACAGTCCTGTCATGAGCATCATTACATTGTTATGTAAAGAGAAATATTACTCATGTGATGAAAATGTGAAGATTACCGAATTAACTAGACACAGCGAAACGATTTGATGCTTATTTATCCTTACACCTTTATTCCCATTATCATATTTATAGCAAAATGTACTCACTTTTACGATCACCAATTCACAGGAAAGTCAATTACAAAACGTTGTGGACACTTTTGATCGGATTAACATTTTTCGAAGCTCGCTACTACCAGATGAAATTGCTTGTGAAGGGAATGGAAGTGAATAACCCGTTAATAACAATGCGATCATGAATGGAACTCGTGCTGATCTAATCGATGAGATCCCCAAATGTGCTTACACAGGTTGTGCACTGATAGGAACACGAGTTTATGTAACTGAAGGGTTTGATGGAGATTGTGCTCTCAAATCTACTTTGTGTTATGATTTCGAAATAGAATCTGGCTAGTGAGTGATGTACATTGAGTGTTCTGTTTTGTTTAATTTAGTAAATTCTTAATAACTTCAAAAGTTACCAAACATTTTACAACTACTTTATTAGGAATGGACAATTCTTGTGATATGTATACAGTACGAGCGAAAGTTTCATGTCTTAGCGCAATATATGGAGTTTGGCAAAATGATCAAACAATAATTTAACGGAAAGAGAACGATGAAAATCCCTCCGCAGCTGAACGGTATTGTCATTTATTTGTTCAGATCTCGTTTAACCACACCTTTTGTTCTTCAGTCTTCCTCGTCTGAGCCTTTATTATGTGATTTTGATTAAAGAATTATCTTTCGTTGCCTAAGTTCCCATCGCATGTTGCCGGACTATTGACAGTAAGGTCGTGTTTGACTATGCTCAAGGTCACGGCGTGGCCCAGTATGTGACTGTTAACCTTTTGACTGTCTGCTTGGGAGGATTGCCGGAATCCCCACAGATAGATATTTGATCCCGTCTTGTTGGGAATATTTGTTTTTATTCTCAGGTATCAAACCCTTTAGCATTAACTGTTTCCTTCATTGATTAGTGCGCTACTTTGCGTTAGAGAAACGTCTGACTGCATAGCGCAGGCTGTACTGTTTGAGGTATTTTGTACTTTTGATATAATTTGTTCTGTTTTCTAAATTAGAGCCGTTTATATTAAGCACAGAGTTTGTGTTTTGATTTAACATAATGCGATTATCTCAAAAACGCGTTGTGAGCTATACAGAGGAACATGGTCTGGTCTAATCGAATAAATTTCGGGTTCGTCAGTCCGGTGTTCCAACCGAGTATTGGTTGTTCGGTCATTACAAATAGCATATGACTTTAAGCAAACAGCAGATTTTATGGTGTGTAATTAATTTCCCATTTTATAATGTGCGTGATACATTATTTGTCTGTGAGAGTAAAGTGTTGAAAAGAGGAAAGATATTTACAGCTCTGTCGAGGTACATATGTTACCGCAGACTGAATAATTGAATTCCTCAAAATAATCAACAAGAAATTATCAAACCTGACCAGATTAACTGTTAAGAGTTTGGTGGTGACTGATGGTGGAATCCATAAATAGTGATTTATCACATTTGACACTCGTCAGCTTGATGTGCTTGCACTCTTGATTTACTGTTTACTCGCAGATCTCGGCCTAGTACTTCCGCTTCAAACACCTTACCAACATACTATGCTATTATGGAATACAACCAGTGAGATTACACAAAGTATCTCTAGTTGATTATCACATTATATCAACTTATACATAAGAATGAAACTTTTGAAAACTTGCGGTTACAAAAGTTATGCAATTCTGAAAACCAGTCGGGAAATTCATAATTGCTAATTAGTATTGAACAGTGTATGTATGTGACGTATATGTAAAGCGTCACATCAATAAAAAATAATGAACTATTCGTGTTGGGCAAATTTTGGACGATGAATGCGTTGTTCTGGTAATGAGATTAACACACGAACATGACTCTGAAAAGCTTTAAAATAATCAAAAATCGATGGCCAATAGCATCGTTCCAAATGTCTCATATTTTGCAATGAAATCAGTTAAATGTCGATACGTACATAGTTGAGAAGTGTCGAATTCATATATCAATAAACGCGTTTATCGTGACTTATAAAACTGAACCAGTAAATATTAATTTCAGTCCACCACCAAACTAGACGAAACGACAAGCGTGATCTGATGACACTCATCCAGTGAATTCTTAACAATAATAATGATAACAGAACTAATGCTAATACTCACAACAATAATCAACTGATATGGAGTTGCTTGATAGATATAACATAACTTGGTCACCATATAGTTAATCTTTATTCTTCCGTGTTAATAGTTAGCATGTTGCACATATAACGGCACACTGAAAAAGTCAGATCTTCTCAATGTCACCCTCCGTTTCATTTCAACGACCTTGAACGTTCTGACACGAGCGGTGATTCCGTATTTCAGTTACTGTGGATTTGTTGGGCGTCCGTTGGGTTGCAGAAGTAATACGTGTTCTCATATTTAAGTGGTCTTTCGCTGCAGCAAAACCACACAATCATTGTGAAGAACATCGATTTAGCTCCCTCTGCCTTGTCATGCACCCATTCGATCGATTGTTGCTTCACAACTCATCACGCACGTTTCAAAGAGGGCAGTGATTTCGTACTTGTTGTGGTTGCCCTTGCTTTTGTGTACTTGTTGCATCAAAAGGCGTTCTTGTTCTATTTTAACTTGAAGTATTTCGGTTAAGGTTTGACATCTTGATAAACTTGCTAATCTTCTTTCTCATTAACTGACACCCGTGTTTATATTGTTATCATATTGTGTTTTCAACCTTTGGTTGTACTTATAATTATGGACAGCTGAAGTGTTTATTCCCCATGCAGGAAGGAATGGAATGTGGTGAGTGTAAAAAGGGGTTCCATAAGATGTGAACCCGTTTAAATCCGACCGTATACAAAACATGCTCGAAGCCTAACTAATTACCGAGAAGTAAGGCGTCACTTCAATCGTGTATCTCTAATAGAAATTGAGCACCGGGATAAAACCTTCACCGTTCCAAATAGTTGCGGTGTGGCTGTCCTGAGTGGTGAAAAGTGGACTACAACACGGAAGAAAAGAAATGAAAAGACAAAAGTTATAGGCACTACGCACTTGGTCGACGAGTCATTGGTGAACTTCCATTCTGACTCTTGAAACACTGCCAAAGTCTGATAGTAAGACGGAACTTCACCGTGGCGTGACCGAGAAGAAGAATTTATTCTTATTGAATATTACTGTGAGTAATTCGCTAAAGTCAAACGATCCTGATCACAAAATTAGACACGCGTATGATTTAGCGAAGGTCGGAGAATATATTCTTTGCATCTTG